ATAACGGTTCGCACTCCATCAAAGACGTTGCCTTGAAAGTTGAAACGAAGACTGCCTTTTCCCACAAAAAAAGCTACTTCGTTGTTTAAATTCCACAGAAAAGTAGATCGCTTGACAAGAGGTATGGAAAAAGGAATAAAATTGCTTTCGATTCAACTTCAAACGCTGAAATAATCGAGTTTTTGCCTCATTGCTGGAGAGTTGTATCATTAGTTCATGGCCTTCGCACAAATTTCAAATATTCAAGTAACCAGAGCGATTTAAAAAAAAATTATAAAAAGTTATGAGCATTAATTGCGGTTTAAATTGCACAGGAAAGTGGATTCCTCGACGAAAAGAGGGACGGTGAGAGAAAAAATTGCTTTCGATTAAACTTCAAACGCTGAAATACTGTACAGTACTTGAGTCATTATTCCATTGCTATTGCTGCATCTTTTTTGTCCCTCTCGCCAATTTTGAAAATATTGAAGCAACAAGAGCGATTCAAAAAATGCCCAAAAATTGTGTCTCCGATTTACACTTCGAATACTGTATGGCCGTTTCTTGAATCACTAAAAATGTACTGAAGTATACGGTACTTAATTTCAATTCAGTCTTTTTCTCAGCTTATCTGCATTCAGGTTTTCTGAAATTCGCATTCAGAAACCTAAAAATACCTAATTCCCTATTATAGCTATCAACTGACCATTCCTATCTCGATTACATGAAATAAACAAAAAGCATTGAAGATTGGAGTACTGTACAAAGTTGAAAGAATTATCGATGATTCTAAAAAGAAAATTCTCAAAGTTCAACAACGAAAAAAATCCATCTACTGGACTAATTCAGGTACATAATCAGGAAGTACCTCTGAATGATTACAGAGGACCTCATAGGGATAAAAAAATATTCTCATCAGGTCATAAGATACCCTTGAGGTTCCTTGGTGGAAAATGGCTGACTGCAAACGCAACCGGGCGTTTAAACAACAAATCTCACTTCGCTCTACAAAACCCCACGCAATTCCCCGGTTCAGGAAGTACTCTTCCGACCGAGTTGAAAGCGGAGAAAACCCGACAGGAGAGAAGAAGGAAGAAATTTTCTTTTCTCGGGGTTGAAAAAATAAAGATACAAAAACCCAGGGTTTTATTTTTCATCCGGGTTTTCACGCCAATTGATCCACCTAAAGCATGGAAAAACAGAAACCCCGCGTTCACCAATGAACAAATTCCTTTCTTTCGTGGTTTTGATTGAGAAGGCTTGTATAACCTCCGACTTTCAACTAATGTACATTCCGCGAAGGAACAACACCTTGTCACATTAGGTGTCGAAAAGGCTTTCGTTTTTCTCCGCATTCAAGTCCCAGCAAGACAGCTACAACGAACACATACGCTAGCACGTGTTTGCTGTAGCTATTCAATTAAATAACGCATGCAAACGTAACCATGATTGCTAGAAGATCTAGAATTCGAGATTCTATGGCAGTGTTCCCCAACCTTTTTGGGCCCGCGAAACGGAAAATTCCCATAATATTTTTTTGCGGACTGGCAAGTTTCCAAAAAATCCTCTGCGGCCCAGAAAAGGATAAAAAAAAGTAGTTGCTGACTCAAAAACTTTTTTGTTTGAATTTGAAAGACATTGTGGCAGGTATTATAACAGTTTCTTCTTTTTTTGTAGCAAAAATTAATTCAAGGAGACAAGGACTAATGGAGCAACTTTAGTGGAATGCCTTCAAGAAAGGTGGGCTTGAAGAAAGCTTTTTCTGCGGAAAAAATGCTAGCAATTTATTTCACCAAGTGCAAATCTATCTGAAGCATTAAGAGAAAAGCCAACATTTTTTATCAGATAATTTCAACTGTGATTGTCTTTCCAAAATTTCAAATAAAGACTTCATTGCTACTTTAAAAAATATTATTCCGAAGAAAATTTCCTGCGGATCAACGAAAAATTCCACGGGTGGGGGAACACTGTTCTACAATGACTTCAATTTAATAATAAAAAGCACGACTTCGTTGTTAAGATTCGAATTTCGATTTTCATGATAGCCACGGACAGAAGCAGTAGCGTGCAGGTCCGGGGGGAAAATGCAAAAAACGCTTCTCCAACAACTACAGTAATTGATTCGTTCATTCATTCTTTTTTTGTTGTTGCTTTTTTGACACTAGGCGCAAAAGTCAAGAGGACGTCTAGCGAGCTTTTCAACGTGATTACGGGACAGCTGAGATTAAATCAGCTCAGCTCTGAATTTTGTTTTCACTCGTTCGCAGAAACGTAGAAAAGGATGTTCGAATGGCATCCAACAGAACAGTATTTCTACGAATACAAATAAATGCCATGTGCAGAAGCAAACTAGCGGATTTGTTAGCTCATCAGCACGATGTATGCCGTTGCGTCAACGACTGACTTCTCATCAGCTCGATTCGTACATGTTTATCTCTCGAAGAAAAAGGCAACGGTACGAACCCGAATGCTGAGAGACGTTTCTTTTATAAAATGTTCGAAACACACGCATCTTCAGCTTGTCTTCACATACGATACGTACTGTACATATCGTATAGACATAATGTTTACATATACTGTAGATAATCTCTCTCTCTACAACGAAATTCATCGGACCAGAAAAAAAAGAGGGAATTTCGCTGTGGAAAACCCCTGCAAACCGTACGGGTGTTCCTTTTAAGACGTTTCTTTCACGAAATGTTCGGAGACAGAAAAACGCCTCTTCCGCCTGTCTTCGCCATCGGTAACGGTATTTTACTTTCAGTTTTCATTTTCAATCGCGTCACATATTTTTCTCGAGTTTAATACTGTAATGGCATATCTTCAGAAAAGCTGGCTGAATAATCGAAGCCAGGCGCAGCTAACCTCGGAACCCCAGGATTCCAGATAGCTTCATCAAATTTCCAATCAAGACCAGAAAAAAGATCTTTAAATACAGAAAAATCGCAGAGGTATGGAACCTGATATTCCAGAATCCAGAGGAATGTCATCGATGACCGTTCTTCGCACTCGATTTGCGGCCGACTTTGAACAAATGATAACGAACATTTTTCAAATAAATTTTACGTTCATTCACATATTTTGGATTAGATGTTTACAAAATACAGTGGTATGTACCTCGTAGTGCGAACGCCTCATACCACAAAAAATTGGTTTAATAAAGATGAAATAAAATTTTTCGACGACATTTCTCCGCATTTGCGAAACGAATTGAATGATTTTCCATAAGTACATGGGAAATCTTGATTCGTATTAAGAACAAATTGTACAACGAACGTGGCTCTCGCACGAATTACTGAAAGTTCGTTGTATGAGGTACCCCTGGTACATTGAGGTCATCTCTCGAATCGTTCTCTGTGAATGGAGAAACAAATCTGTCGGTAAAACGGCTTGTTTGTGAAGAAGTTCCACAGTATTCTCAAGTGGAAACGAAACCGTGTTAAACTGCAGAAAAAAATTTGATCAACAAGCGGTTGGTCCAATCCTGGGTGAATGGCTCAACGTCGCCTCGCCATAAACTCAGATTGGCTGGATTGTCTCTCATCAGATTCACCAGCTCGTTTTCGCTCCAATGAAAATACTGTACTTGAAAAAAGAGAGAAATGTAAGCCTACAAGAGACCAAGGTAAGACTTTCTCTAAAAAAGAAAATAAAATCCGGAAATAGGGTCATGCTAGAGCCACTTTTACTCAGCACAGAGAAGCTTTTCTACAACCACACGAGCAAATCCTTCTTCCCTCAAGAGAGATGCGACTCTCCAGTTCCTCCATACGGCTATCTCAATTGGATCCAAGGCTTTCAAGGATCCTCACGAACACTTTTCCGCCACAGTGACGAGGCCTAGATTCTTTCCTTTCGCCACAACGCACATGAATCGGGAATTACACGACATAAACTGATTCGAATTCACAATTATGACCATGGGATATTAGAGTGTATTATTAAAGCATTTCAACTCTGGTCGCTCGATTATTTCTCACATAAAAATTGCGAAGTCACCCTCGACGAAGGGCTTATTACATGATATAGTAGTAATACAATTATGATATTGTATCGAAGCACGGCTTACCACTAGCGTTGAAATGATGTTCAAGAAATTTTTACAAAGGATTGAAGTTCTATATTTTTGTTTACAATTGATACCGCCAGGTTTCAACTAGCCATTGATTTTCGATTCGACAGTGGAGGCTCACGAGAAATCGCTTAATTGTCAGGTACAGTCGAACCTCTACAAGTCGAACTTCAATGGAACAGCAAAAAAAAATCAACTTGAAGGAGATTTCCAGTCGAGGAAACGAGCATTCATGCTGGGGAAAGCAAAACAATCTCCGGAAATTGTAGCTGGTGATTTTCTGGACATTGAATTTATTTTCAAATGAGTTGAAAGGATGCTGAACGTGGACGCAAGGGTTGATATGCCCAATTACGTCTTTCACTTTCTTTGAAAAACACATCAAATTACATCTTGATCGCCTTTGGCTTTCCTTATTCAAGAAAATAATACCGTAGTCAAAAATGCTCCCAGAAAGTTCGGGTTATGGAGGTTTGAGGGGCAGAGTCTTCGAGTTAGAGAAGTTTTCAATGCATGGATTCTCTTCCAACGGAATCCGGACAGGGATACGAAAAAAAAAAATTCGACGTAGGGAGGTATTCGGCTTGAGTCATGAAGGTTCAACTGTAATGCGCAATAATGTTTCCAACAAAATGGGGAATTGTAACATGAAGTTCACTGGAATCAATTGACATGCGGACAAAACAAAAAAAATCGCGTGAAGTCTACACATATGAGCTCGCAAGTTCCTTCCGGACACAGAAAGAGAGAGAGAGAGAATCAAACCCCTGAGGTAAAGCGGCAGAAAACGTTTCTCAAAGATTCCGTTCAAGTCAGTGAAGCAAGTTTCCCCATGTTCTACCCGCTACATCAATCAGACGCGCTGGTTTCCATCCGTGTCGAGGCTCGTGGAACATGTATCCCTTTATTCCCGCTGAAGACCAGCAGACGCGATGAATATTCCTCCCCTTCAAGAGTACTTTTCCGAGGATGTATAATGCGTTTCCACATCTTTTTTCTTTTTCTCCTTCCACGCCTGGAACTTTTCGGCCGCGATGCATTTAATTCGCAAGTAATATTCTTCGACCTTCGCTTCACGGCACCCGAGATTTTCACGGGGTACATCTCGGAACCCGACAGGAGATTCTGGACTCCGCGTCGCATGGGTGGCTTCAACAGCCAACCCTGACTCAATCGTCCATTTATTCTACTGCATCGAAGAAAAGCTGGACTGATTTACGACCCCGATTTTCTGATCGACGGGGATTTTAATGATTCACATGCGCTTTGGTTCACTATATACTGTACTACCGTATGTTCGCACAGCTGCGCACTTCCGAAACTCCCCCACGTGGGCGATCAATAGTAAAGGTATCCTTGTCAAAATCGGCAAATCAAAACTATCAGAACCAGGCCTAGATATCACGAATACCAGATGGAGCACTGAAGAGTGAAATACAATACCTGTACAGCATTTTCGAAGCGACGCTTTTTTCAATTTATCAGAGCTAAAAATTATTAATCCATGAAAGGTCTATTTCGCAGCTTTCGAATCGATTTCGTTTCGCACTTTCATCCGTTGAATATTCTCACGGTTATTTTAAAAAAAAATTTTGCTATTACACGGAATCTCATCAACCAATTCGAAGTGTGTCAACTTTCTCAATGAATGTTACAAATCCTAATTAAAAACGGACTGTTCTCAGTAATTTTGTCAACTTGGGTTCACGAATTTTTCTGCTTCCGTTTTCTGTGACACGGGAAAGCAACCGAATGATGCATGAAATGTAGCTTTCACCAAGTTAAAAGAAAATATTTCGGTGGAAAACGGATTACAGTTCTTCGACTCACACTCTTTCACTCTCTCATTCAAGATCCCGTTAACAGATCACACGCGAAGTCCCTACGTAACATTGACAAATGAAACTCGAACCTAAATTTAAAGAAAAACAAGTTATTTTGAATTTTTCATGTTTTCAAAAACGCTTGCAACGATTTACCTCACCATTTCGAGAATTATAACGTCGAATATTTTCAAAAATCATGGATCGACACCTTCACTGGTAGTTTTCAAAAACACAAAAAAAACTATAGCAATACGTCGTGATCCGTCACCAAAGAAATTGCGGTAAAATAAATTTTGGAGCTTTCAATCCAATTGCACCTCATATCAACACACTGTATCATCAATAGGGTTCAACATTCCATCTCCGAAGTGTCGCTCTTTCGTATTCCATTACGCCTTTCTCATCACTGTAAAGTGAAGGACAAGGAATCTCCGCTGATTCAAAAATGTTGATTTCTCATGAAACAACAGAATCACACTCGAGTGGAGAAACGAAAACAACTTTCCCTTCCCTTCTTATCCCATCCAGGAAGACCGCACCCAAGTTCGAAGCAAATGCGGATTGGGAATATCGAATATTCAAGTGGACCACCGACGGAAGAAAAAAAAAACAAAACAAAAAACAAAAAAAAACTTACTTGGCTCTGTCTAAAATGTCATGAGTGGCCAGAGAGTCAACGTCGATCGGAGCATCGGCACTTTCCACACTGATGGAGCGATCCGAGTGAACCATAAGCATGCTCATCAGCGATGATAGGATGTACACGGGTAATGGGGCACCGTTCTCGCCAACCAGGGCCACTTTCCGGGCCGCACTGCACACGTCCACAAAGCGCTCCTTCAGCGCGTCCTCGGGCAGCACGCCTCGCTTAATAGCCGTCTTCGGGATGCATCGCAACACGCTCTGCACGAACTCGTCTTCAACTAAAAAAAAAATAAATAAAATATTCGGATCATTCCGTTGGAGTTGGTCGCTTTTCAAACAAGGGGAACCAAAGGGAATAGAAGAGGATATACGTTTTCGGAGCAAGTTTAAAGGCAGAAAATCGAATGAATTACTTCGCAGAACAAGGCGCTTGTGAGCTTCATGAAAATTTCTGACCGGATTCCGGAATAAAACACTTCAAAAACAGAAAAAGCAAAAAAAAATTTAACCTAAACTCAATTGTATGTCCGATTTAATTGTTCTTGAATCACTTTTCGCGCATTTCGTGCATCTTTCCATGATTGAAAAAATTTATTGACCGGATTAGATTAGTGCTAATTATTCACCTTCCAATGAAAATTTCGAATCTTCTTCATGAACAAATCGAAGCTTGGCTCGACCATCTCCAGCCTGATAAATAGACATTTTCTTTTTTCAGAGGTTCAAATTACTCAAACTAAAAATTGTAACGAACACTGCAAGAATGAATGGCACGTGAATTTCGGATGGTCAGAAAAACTACACGGACGCTGAAAATAGAGAAGCCCATGAAATTTTTCGTCTTCATTGAACTCCGACGCTTTCAGTGTTCAGAAATGAATTCGAATGATACTTTCTGCACATTTCAACAAGCTCTCTTAGGTAAATTTGAACAAAACCTAACACAGAAATCATAAGTATACGGATGAATGTATGGTAAACACGACTCAAAAGCAACCGAATACATAAGTCATTTGAGTGGAAAGGCTTACTTATTCATTATTATAATTATTTATTATTTTCAAAATATTGGTCAAAATCAGTGCAAAATCGTGGTTCCAATTCGTGAAAACGAAAATATCGGCATTTAAGAATTGAAATGACGATAGAAATCATTTTTAGCTTCTGATCAAGTGCATGATTTCCTATTGGAGCGCAGATACAATAACAAAACTGTGGTTAAAAACGCTCGAAAGAATATAACTACGAAAATATAAAATAAAATTGCACTAGAAATCCGTACTACAGTAGATTCAATCAGAAGAGATTGTTACTTCAGGAATAAGAGCAGCGCAAGAAATGATCTGACATGCAAAGTACCGTTTACGTGTACCGTAATTTTATTCGGGGTTCGTTGGGGATCATAACGGTAACTTGGAACTGACCAGCTGAAACTTCAATAGCGTCCACCTCCTCCATGAGAGGTTTGATTCGATCGCTCCAACTGCCAGCTGTCAATTCACTGCACTTCAATCGTTGCTTCAGGGCAGCACATGCCAGCCACAGTTCCTGTGCCGTCTTCGACATCTTTTCTACCTGAGCGCGACCTGAAACCCATCCAATAAAAATGCTGAATTTTCAAAAAATAAACATCGAAAGAAAGAGACGATTACTTCCGCAAAAACTTGAATTTTCCACGGCATGTGTAGACATTCCTCAATGCATGAAAAAAAAGGGTATATTCCGCAGACCGACGGAAAAGATAAGAGATCATTCAAACATGGGTTCGACATTTTCATCTACTCAATTTAACTTCAGGCGTCCTCAACCCCATGTTGCGCCAAAATACAGCGAATACCCCGTATATTTTGAAAAAATGAGTCAGATATTGTCAGGTTCAACCTTATCGTTCAGTTACGCTCATTAATGGACATCATGTTACAGTGTTTTAAGATGGGTCACGTTGGTTCAGGTTTATCGAAATAATTTGTGGTAGTGATCGAAGCTACAACTGCTTAGAAAATGAGGTCGGATTTTCAGGTGGGAGTTGTTTGGTTTGTATCGAAGACAATATCTTCTTACAGTCCACTTCGTTCCTGAACAACAGCATGAATCATTCCAGGTTGCCCAGGTGATGGATACCCTTTTCTGGCATTCAGATAAAATTGCTGTTGAATTACAGCATGTCAATCTTGTATTCCAACCCCGCTTTCCGAACGAAAATTCCCCACCAAAAGGGAGAATTCTGAGGGATTTTTCTTGTTTCCATCAAAATCCCAGCATCAACTTACTCAAAAGCGCTTCTTTGATGCCCGCCAGTCGGCTTTGGGCCTCAGCCATTTTCGACAGGTAAGTTCGCTTCGACGTCGACAGACCATCTTCGAATGCGGAATCCCAACGACGCTCGAAACTCTTCTGCTGTTCCATCAAAGCATCCTGCAAAAACAAAAAACGCATGAAAATAAATTGGAAAGATCTACGACGTGACAAGCCTATTATTTGATTATGCTATTGTAACTCTAAGAACAAGCCTTTCAAACATGGTAATTGCCTTCAAAAAACTCTCCTAGAGTATACCTAGAACACAACCCGTACCTTCCCAAAAAACATGAATTCAATTCAAAAACATTTTTTTCTGTACAGATTTTAAACGAATTGAAATTAAAATCGTACCTGCAAATGTTCCGCGTGAGCCGCGGACTGCCGTTTAAGCTGAATTCTCAGTTGTCTGTCCATCTCACAACGTAGTTCTTCCATCTGCAAGGAAAAGAACAGTATAAAAAGTTCCACAACATGTGAATGAACACAATTTTTCACCTTGCACTTATATTCTTGTTCCAATTTGGCCAAAGCATTGTTGCAATCTTGTCGAGCTTTTTCTAGTTCACATCTATGTCTCTTTTCGCCCTCGTCAACTGAACAACGGACTTCATCGTTTCTCGCACACTGTTGAAAAAAACATGAGAAGCTTTATGCTGCTTCGTTAAAAAAGAATCCCGGACAATTAAAATCAAACCTTCAATTTCTCCAACTGCTTCTCCAGCTCTCGCAGCCGATAAAACGTGTTCACCAGCATTACGATCATCTGGTTCTTTGACAAATCATCCGTGGAAGCACCTTGTGCATCGGGAAGGATGCAAGACAATTTGTTCTGCGAACAAACAAAAAATATTAATAACACTTCTCTCAACAACAAGAAGTCCAATGCTTGAAAAAATTTTCACCTGAAACGCACACCAGGCTCTCTCCACACTGTCCTCACACTCCTCCAAACACTGAGCTTCTCGAAGGGCCTGTCGGGTACACTCCGTGGCCTCTTCCATCTCGTCGACCAAAACGCGGATCTTGTCTTCATAACCACAAAGGATCGGATTGTCACAGATCTCTCCACAATCGAGACCTTGGAGAACCACTTTCCTATAACAGTCAGCTGCCTCTCTGTGTATGAAGGGCACTAATTATGAAAAACAATTTTCTCGACAGAAAGAATAGTTGGTAAATTGGCGAGGGAGTTTTAAAGTGAGACTTGCCTTGCTAGACAGGTTTTTACCAAGGCATCCTGTAACGCACATTGCCTACGTTGTCCTTCTTCACAGACTGCCTTCCAGATATCTCCTTCAGCACAGGGATCCGCAGCTTTGCCAACAACTTCACACAGCACTCTGATATGCTCTGAAAATTTAAAAAATTCAATTAATTATTGAAATTGGGTGAGTACTGTAATTGAGTTATACTGAACGTAAGATACTTTGCTCCAATACAGTACAGTTTTGAATTTTTATAAGGGGCTGCCTTCTCCTGCTGCTAGAATTCCTTCCATCTCAATGCTTAAGGCCAAAATCATGAATAGTGTAGTTGATGCATATGTGTAAGGGTTTTTATTTTATTCTGGAGGACAGTAAATTGAGGAGGTATTGACCTGCATAAAGAAAGTACAGTCAAACCCTGATAAGACGCCACCATTTGTCCTGAGCAATTCCGGCAGTTGAAGGGGTTGGCGGTTTATTGAATATTTTATTTTAAATCATTTGATCAAAAGTACTTGATTTCCCTTCAGAAGTAAAAGTTTTGCAGAAACTTCAGTAATTTTCCGAATAGTTTTGCCGTGATTTATGCATTGCTCCTTCAGAAAATTAATTTTTCTTCATCAATTTTTTCAAATTTTAAAATTAGGTCTTCATATTGTTTGAAGTTTTGAAAAATGAAGATCTCATTTTGTTTTCTTCTTACCAATACAAGATCCTGGACAGAAAATATAATTATGCTCCAATGATGGCATTGTAACAAAGACAAAACTAATACAAAATAGCACTTTTGTTTCATCACTAATGCTGGCAGATGGGGTTGGCGTCTTATGGAGGTTTTCTATGGCATTTAGTCTTGAGATTTATTTCATTCAAAATGTTGGCAGTTGCCAAGGGTGGCGCTTTATCGGGGGGCGTCTTAACGGGGTTTGACTGTAATTGAATTACAAGCTATAGTATTTTCACAGCAAATTCCTAACATACTTCGAATTTTTTGAAATCCCCACAACGCAAAAAATCGATGCTGGCAAAAACAAGAGAACTTCAGTAGAACATTTTGGCATCTACTTGCGCTAGGTTCACTGACAGGCGTAAATCAAACCCGATGAAAAAAAATATTAAGAGAGCTAACATGTTCACGCGGGAAAATCGTACGTAAAATATCGTAGAACCATCAATTATTTCGGGAAGTGAACTGGCACATTCTCCTGGATTATCTAATGCTGTCTGAAGCAACTCTTCAAGAAGAATTCAAGAATAACCGGAAATCACCCAATACTTACTCTACGGCACATTAGGACAAGTTCGTTCAGTCGAAGGGAAATGAAGAGAGGATGTACTAAATAATTTACACAGTATTGTATTGCCTATAACGGACATGTTAGTAACTCTCATGGCTAAAACTTTGAGCGTTGGTAATCTGAGCTAGGTTAATCGTAGTTGTTCGCTACATGTTAAATACGTAGTTCATTTCAATACCCAAAAACTTGTAAAAAGTAAAATCATGGATTTGGGTACATAAAGCGTCATACAGTCGTCTTAAGTCGAATTCCAAGGGATCAGCGGAACATTCGACTTGAGGAGGTTTCGAGTTCTCCTGGATACAGTACTACCATTTTTGCCTTAGAAAAAAAAGAAGCATTAAAGGAACCTGAACTAAGTGATTTTTCTCGGCCCAAAACTACCTCGTGAAGTTGACATGAAGCTGAACTTGGAGGCGAGGGTTCATTTGTCGTAATTCGTCTTTCACATCGTTTTGAAGCACACCCAGCTAAACTTTCGTTGATGTCCTCTTTCCCAGGTCATACAAATGGTATCCAAAATGCCTCCAAGAATTCGCATTTTTTAGGTTTGGGGGAAAGCCATCGAGTTGGAGAGGCTTTTATAACAGTAAATCGTTTCTACGGCAAACTCAAACAGGGACTTCAAAATTTGTTAACATAGGGCAGTATTCGGCTTAGGGAGGTACGCGTTATCAAGGCTCAACTGTATGGAAAAAACACAAGGTTGATATGTCCACAACAAAAAAGGACGTCTTCCAAGGAAGGGCTCGATTTCCACACGAACCTCGAATGGCATGGGCAGCCCTAGCTTCGGACTCCACAGCAGCCGTAAAGGCATTCCTCATGCATTTTTCAGCGGCATTCACTTGTTCCTCGAGAGCGGCGTTCAACGCTGCTCTTCGCTTCTCTTCGCGTTTCCGGCGCTCTTCACACTCCTGCTGACGAGCTTCACGCACCTTCTTCTCGCACGCTTCCTTCATTTCATCTGCTTTACGCTCAGCTTCCGCAATGCGTTGGCAGGCTTCGCGCTTTTCAGCTTCCGCCTTGCGAAGTGCATCTTCGAGCATTCGTTCACATTCGAGACGTTGATTTTGTGCTTCGCTTTCTGCTTGGCGCATGATGCACTCGGCACGAGAACGTTCCTCACCTATTTGGGGAAAAATGAAATTCAATAACCGTAGTCACGTGAGAACCATCGAACAGACGTTATGTTCACAAGAATTCATGGTAAAATCGCGTTACACTTCAATCCGAGGTCAGAGCAAGGAAACGGAATCGGAACGACCGCGTTCATCCAGATACAGAAATCATAAAAAGCTTTCGTTTTGCATGGTTCTCACTTGTTAAAAGATAAATGAGCTAACCGATCACTTCGCGTCTTACACGTTCACTTCGCGGTCAGAAAAACTCGCGTCTACCTCCAATTTCGCTCGCTTCATTTGAACACTATTCACTTACAAGTTCAGCACTCGCTGAACATCACGAGATCACTGGAAAAGTTCAATCTACTAATAGAGAGAAGCTGTTTTCTTCGTGTTCATCCAACTCTTCGTCAAAAGGATACCTCCTTCATAAAATTGCCGAAGTTATCTTACGTAACCCAAGCAAAATATATTCATGTTCAACCGTAAAACTGATTCACACAAGTAATTTTCCCTTTCTGTATTCGTGGATCACATTACTGTACGTACTTCGAAAGAGCCACTCATAAACAGTCACGAATTCGTAGAAAATTTTACCCAAGGATTGAATTTCGCTGTTGAACTTCTCGTGTAAATTCGTAAGAGCACTGTTCTCATCACTTGGACACGGTTCGACGATCGCGGGACACGGCGGTTGGGTCACACAGCAACATGTTTCTACAGCAGGATGAAACGAAGATTCCGATTGCATGAAAATTCACTTTTTCAGATGACGCGTGCAACATAAAATTTTGCAAACTGTTGGAATCCACTGAAACGGTGACGACAGAAATTTCCTCACCATCGTCAGAGGACTTCGGTGACGGAGATGCAACGGTTTTCTTGCTTTTATCCGGAGGCGTACTTCCGGACTCCGAGCCGCCACTTCCAACAATACCTAATTTATCTTTCACACTACCAATGCCTTCATGATACTTCTTCTTAGTCTTATCCCAAAAATCGGTGAATGCACTATTAATGAAGAAATAAATGGTGTAAGCATCAGAAGAATCCGAATGCACGATTCGACATACTTCTTGTTTCCATCATCTTTCTGCGGAGGACCGAGGAAAGTAGTAAGGACGGAGGAAGAAAATGGCAAGTTGCTTTCCAACGATGCTCGGAAAAGCTCATCAAAATTGCAATAAACCACAGTCCCAAATAGTGAAACTGTGGTAAATGCCCCAGCGCCGAGGACTAATCGTCGGCCGAGTGAACTTGGCCTGCAATGAACAGGTACGAATCGGTCGTTACAATCAGATCAACTTATGGATCACAAACTGGAAAACATTCATTGCGACCGATGAAAAATATGAAATAAAACATTTCTTCTTAGAAATGTTTATTACTCAGGAACGCGTGGTTATCGTATCCTGTGTATTACTTCAATGTAAACGATAACGGCTCGATTTCGTACAATCCGGTTGATGCGTCTTTCTGATCCTTATTTCCTCTCAAGTTGGAAGCACCAAGATTAATAATATCCAACAATCACATTTCACTATAGCACGCATGAGTTTTTACAAGAAAACCAACTGCTCTTACAAGTTATTTTTCAAGGAACAGTGCATGAGAAAGGCGCAATTTTAGCTTGAGTCTATTTCGTCCAGTTAGTAATGGAACTTGGAAATTCTTTTCACTGTAGGTCACACTTTCATCTGTCATCTAAAAAAAAAAACCTCAACTAATTCAGAGAAGCTTCCTTCTTCGCTTTTTTTAATGGTTTATTTCGCAATGCATTTAGTAAATTTTCATTTAGTATGAAAGAATTAACACTAAAAAAAACTGATAAAGTGATGAGCTCACCCTGCATTTTCTCCCGACAGCAACCTCCGCTGAATAAACTTGGCAGCATTCGTCTGTGGTAACAAGTTCAAACTACCTCCAGGCACATTTATTCTACGTGGTGTCTATCAAGAGAAAAACAATTCAAGTCACAATGTCGCATCAATCGCTACAAAAATAGTTACTTTGCGAAATTGAACAGCCCCGGTAACGGGCTTCAATCGGAGCATCGTCAATGATCCCAAAGATGTAGGTGAAGCGAATCAGGCGTAACACATTTCAAGAGTAAAAGTAAACACACGATTTGGACTCCGGACAACGCGGTGCCCTCATCAGAACACTTCCACAATCTGCAACAACGAAATACCAAAAAGTGTTGTGTAACTTCGATCTAGAGCCTTCATCAGCTTTTCATAGAAACCTCCGCGGTCACCTGAAGTAGTCGTTTCGAGCAGGAACGCTGAAGGCCTACAAGCGGAACGAACTCGTTTCACGGAAATTGAGAAAATAAAATATTGATTACCTCCTGAACCAAAAAACTTGAAAAAATAAAACGCTAGAATTGGTCACATTCGAATAGTTAAAAGAAATACACCGGTTCATTTATCACGGGAGTTTCGGCGAGAAAGGCTAATAATAATAATAAAGGATAATAAACGTCTTTAGCGGTACTCAGAAGAATATGCGTTCCAAATAGTTCCATCCACGAATTCCACTGAATACGCACACGGTTTTGATACTGGCATCAATACCAGTTGAAAAATTTGCGCCTTTTTTCGCCATCTTTCGGCGCTTCATCAGATCCGAGCATCTTCGCAATCGGAGATTCGTTCAGACTTGCACTCTCCCGGGATGGACGATTCTTCTCGTCATAAAAATCAGATTGCGCGTTCAAATTGTCACCAATTCCACTGAAATTAATAAATTATAAGAAATGCAAAACTTAGCACAAATGAGATCATCACTATCACCGGCTACGTAAGAAACCCGAAGGCATAAGGCAATCTTTGACCCCGAAGTCAAGGCCAGGTGGGCATTTCTTCTCCGGATCTGCAGGACAATCTTTTTTCGGTCCGCAATCGGCTTCACTCGGCTTCTGCGGACACGGAGGACAGGGTGGTGGGCACGGGGGAGGACACGGAGGTGGACACGGTGGAGGACATGGCGGCGGGCAAGGTGGCGGACATGGCCTGGGGCACGGCGGTGGACAAGGTGGTGGACACGGCGGTGGGCATGGTGGTGGACAAGGTGGTGGGCATGGTGGTGGACACGGTCTTGGACACGGAGGCGGACATGGTGGAGGACATGGTGGTGGGCACGGGGGAGGACAAGGTGGTGGGCACGGAGGTGGCTGTCGGCAGCACGGATTAGCTGCCTCTTTCGCAAGGAACTCACACAGCAGATCTTTAGCCATGGTCTGGTAGAGTTCTTCCAATTCTGGAATGCATTCAGAGATATCGCACGTATTCGGTCGCGTCTCTGGACAACGACGCCATTGCTCTTCCATCGCTGTTCGTTTACGGGCCCAGCACATGAATGCCGATTGACACGGTCCCATAGTTTTCACATCACACAAAGCCCTACGAGTCTCCTCAAACGCGGCATCCAACTGACAGTTCGCCTGATTGATCTTATCCTCTGCCTGGGACAGGATGGGATTATCGCAAACCTCCCGGCAACGACGTCCGTCAGAAACCACACGACGATAGAAGTCTATTTTCTTCCTAAAATCAGATTGCAAGACGAGATCGAAACGATGAAAACACATTAAAACAAATAAATTGCATCGGAATATTTTTTTTTCTTTTTAAATGTTTTTCTCGATTGATATTTTCAATATTATTTGATATTGTCGATTTAAAGATTACTAAGCGAAATGCTTTCGGAATGAATTTTTTCTATTTAGAATACAGTACTTAATCGCGCTCTTTTTTCCAATTTATAATCGAGTGTGCACGTCATGGGTAGGTATTTCTCTTTTCTTGAGTTTAGGTACGTCTGCTAATGGTAAATTTAGGGCCAATGTTTTGCAGAAAAACTTACTGTAGTGAAAACAAATAATCAGTCTAATTCAGGTTCAATTTGTTTCCGAATTTCACTTATTTTCGAAATATTTATTTTTAGAGAGTCACTAAAAATGGTTAGCGTGTCTTTACGAAGGGATACATTTCAAGATGCAGTACATTTCAATCAAAATTGTGTACTGAAAAACCCAGGAGCGCGTCTTACTCGATGGCATATGGAACTCAAATATTATTTTACTTTTTTTTGTCTAATCCAGCAGGATTATATTATACCGGGCGCAACACGAAGCCTCCATGGATTTCTGCACGGCACACATTCGACACGTGGCAGCCTCGCAAACTGGCGCCCACAAGCTCATGTCACTCATGTCACCACAATCCTTCGACACGGCACGACACAAGGCACTCACGTGACCCCGAATAGCTCTCGCTGCGTCTTTTTCCGAGTAAATCGCGGTTCGGACAGCATCTGACATGTGAGCTTCTGCTTCCCTCACTTGCATTTCAAGAGCTTGGTTCAACAAATCCAACTTTTTCTGCTCCATTCGGCAACGTTCTTCTAGTTCACGCTGCTCGGCTTCCTTTATTCTACGCTCAGCATCTTCTTTCAGTTCTCGGGCACGACGTTCCGCTTCGTCGATTCGTTCAAATGCTTCACACTTCTGGGATTCGGCACATCGTTCGGCTTCCGCGATAACCTGAATTGCGGAGTTCGCAGAGTTTCTTGGAAATGTTCAGTGATCTAAAAGGAGGAACGAAATTTACCTGAGCACAGTATTCTCGTTGCTGAGCAAGCATCTGATCAGACTGTTGATATTGTTGGATAGCACAGCATCGCTCTTCCTCAAGCATTGTGAGCAATTTGTTTAGCTCGCATTTCAGAAGTTCCCGAAATGCCGCGGAATCTGTGCAACAGTATTCAGTGCTTTCCAGGCAGATGTCAGGACACGGAGGAGATGAAGGCACATCTGTATACCGCACCAGCATACACTTTCGCATGCATTATTCAAAAAATAATACAGTACTCACCAACTTTGCACACCTTCTTGGGCATGTCGATGTTGGGGAGACCAGATGGAATCGGGGGACGATTGCAGCAGTCCAACTGCGGGCAATCGTCTCCGCATGTCACATCTTTGATTTCTAATCGAGGTGGACAAGGACTGAAACATTTGTTAAAATATGAGAAATTTGAAAAACTAAGATCTGAAATGGAAACAAGTAAATTTACTTTGAAAGAGCGCTAGCGAGCGTTACTTCCAAATTATCTAATCAACATACATTGAAGTTTTATTAGAAGCAGCTTACCAGTCCTGGCCGAAAACAGTCCGTAGTGAAGGTAATCCAGCGATGAAGGGATCTAAAGCTGGGTCATAAATTGCCGCCCGAAAATTCGAATCGAAAGCTGCGTAAAACACGGTGCCAGAAAGGCCAAGCAGAGCTAGCCGCTTAGCCAACTTCACTCGATCTCCGGTTAGCGTTATTTTCAAACCCTCTAGCTTCAGCCTAAATTAAAAGGTTTCGATCAAAATAATTATTTGCACGAACTTCTTTGAAGTCTAACCATTTCGATGAGAGAGTCAAAGGTCTGCCGACTTTGATATTTGGGTTCAGTAAAGCCTTCAATAGAGATTTTCGATCTGTTTCCGCGGCATTCCGCTGAGCTAGCGTCAAAATCTTCCCACGTATAGCGGCCTGTACATTTTCGATAACATTATAGGGGCCATATTAGATTTAATCAAAATGAAACCTTTTGAAGGTCCACATCAAAAACTTACAATCGCTTGACCACCTTTGAACATCGTGGCGAACAAATTATTCGTGAGTCATGAAAATTTGCAAGTGGCATGAGTGGTCAAGAGATAAAAGGGGATTAACTGTACGACGAATTTTGACACCCCCGGTGGGACAGGAGTATTTTAAAAGATTAAATCTGAGGAGAAGAACAGTCTTTTAATTGCTATTATGGTCAGCTCACGCCCTTCATAATGTTCAAATTGAAACTCCAACGCCGGGTTTTTCTTCAGACCCGAAAAATCGAAAGATCGATTTTTTGGAGGCGTTCAAGGAACATTATGATTCGGGTTCGGCTGGCTGAAGGTACATCTTTTGAAACATTTTTGAGCTACGGTCCAAGAAAAATTTCCGATTTAAGTAAAGTTTCAGGAAAACCTAGCGTTTGACACTAGCAAGGTTCTGGCTGCACGCAGGGATCGGCAGGACAACAGGAGCGCAACATTTCCAGGATTCGTTTCTGAACCAGTAATTCCAATTCGTTTCGGCATTCCGGTTGACACAGCTTACTGCCGTACAGCAACGCTTCGCAATCCAACGGAGCCGGTTTGTCGTCGCACGTTGGCGGCATTTGCGCCTTTTTTTACGCGAATGAAAATAAGATGAATTACATTTTTTTAACTAACCAGAATCAAGTTCTCACCTTGCATTGCTCGAGCTCAACAGCAGCTCGGAGATATTTCTGCATTAAATAAATTACCATCACGTTCATTTGTTCTACGGTAATCGGCGAGCAGGGATCACACGGGTCAGCGTCGGGAACGATCGTTTGAAGCATTGGCTGATAAAAATATTTCAAGCGTGATTACGCTATTCTTTTTATAACTTATGAAAATACCCATGAAAATATGCAAATTGTATTAATACTCACGAGAATGAACTGCCAGGAGCTTCTCAAAGCGTCCTTCAAGTTTTTAAGCCCTTGTACTTCACACATGACCAGTCTCGTATGATTCGAAGCCTCGTCGAGTTCGTCGATCATGCACCGAATTTTCTTCTCGGCTCCCTCCAGAACAGGATTATTACAGACTTCAGGACACAATCGGCCGTCTTCGATAATCTTTCGATACGTATCTGCTGCTTCTCTGATGCACGTAATAATAATCCGCTTTCAAGTCTTCCAAATGAAGAGACATTCTAGCTTACCGAAACAAGCCACTTTTCATCATTGTTTCCTCAACCAAGCATTGTCGAGCTTCCAATATTTCCGCGACCTGAGCGAAGTAGTCGTTTTCCAAGTCGCAGGGGTCACGAATGGACCTAACCGCATCTTCGATTGCCTTCACGTAACCTGGAAGACGCAAATTGATTATAGATCGAGATTCCGACTTTCCGGTCAAACCTACATCGAATGATGTTGGCAAGTGCAAGCTCAGATGCGACAGCCATGTCAAGTGCTTCCCTCATGCACTTGTAAGCAAGGTTGACTTTGAACTCGAGCGCTTCGTTCATGAGCTCAAGCTTACGAGCTTCCATTTTACCACGTTCTTCGCACTCTTTCATTTGAGCTTCACGTACTCGTCTCTTGGCTTCTTCACGGAGCAGTATGGCCTTTTCTTCCACTTCCTTGATCTTCGCACAGGCGTCCCCACGCAGCTTGTTTGCACGCTGAACTACATCGTCCATCTAGTTGAAATATGTTAGAAATTTGACTTATAAAATCAGTAGCTTAATACGAATATTCGTCACTAACAACTTGGCAGCATTTGTCCTTCCTGGTCTCGAACTGGGCGTCCGCCTTCTCAATAACTTTCTTCGCAGCTTCCTTCTCAGATTCAAGATCTTTAAGCGCCTCGCACAATTCCTGGTAGCACTTTTCGCGTATCGCCGATACATCAGTGATTGTTTCGTCACCAAAACAATCAGCAATGCAGGGACACGGGGGAGACGGAGGCAACGGCGCTGAAACGCGAAGAATAATGTAACTGCTGACAGTTACAAGGTAAAATACACGTAATGACTTACGAGGACATGCCTTCTTCCGACCAAATTCTTCTTTATTCTTTTTATCACACAGGCACGATGTCTCTGGTTTCTTCTTGGATTCTTCCTTACAACCGGGGTCTGAACCGCCGGAGAAGATGGATCCAACCCAAGACCTGTGTGAATTATCGAGCAGGAAACTCAAAACAAGTTATACTGGAACTTCTGACGATCATGAGTTCGACATTTCAGTTTGATAGAATTGAGCGAGTTTACTGCTGCAAGTAATAATTACCATACCATGGTATTGATTACCATCAATAAAAGGAATGCTGATGATAGAAAAACGCTTTTCCGGGTATCAACATGGAGTTCGAAAATAGCTAGTCGTGAAAATTATTTCCGAACCGCGAACACACACCGCAGTCACATGAACGATGAAGGTTGAATTTAAGTCCAAATTCAATTCAGGCGTCTTATTTGAAAAATTGCAGTTTTTCAGTCACAATGCTGACTCAATTCGAGATAGATTTTTATCAAAAGTTTATGTTGAAAAATTGGGGTGCGCCTCTCACTCGAGGGCGCATGGTAGTCGAGTAAATACAGTTCTTGTAGCAACAACAGTTTAAACTCACATTAATCCGCTATCTTTCTCAGCAGGTTTATTGCCACCCTTCAACCCATTACACGGATCGCACGGAGGAGCGCATTTCGGTTTTGGAGGTGGGCACGGATCACACTTGGGTTTCTTCTTGCACGTCTCACAAGTGGTGATGCCACAAGGGGGAGGGCTTTTTATCTTGAAGCACGGGTCTTCAGCAGCTTGCACTCGGGGCACAAGCCCAAGGTAATTTCTAGGCCATGCCCATTCCAACGAGTCAGAGTCGAAATCCTTCGAGAACAATTCCTCGCGAGCCAAGTAACAACCCAAGGCGACGGTGGCCGACAAGGACACAAGCCCAATTCCCATCCATCGATCCCCGCTTTCCTTTTTATCCGAATTCCTGTCAACGGAGTCTCGAGTATTCTCAGGATGATGATTACAATAATTCTCCAAGAAGAACACACCATGATTGACGCCGGAACCGCAGTGTAGGAACTGCAACAACACATGGTACACGAGACAGTCCGTGTGTTCTCAGGTGGCCAGCTCCAGAAAACGACTTACTAGCCTAGATATTAAGACTATTTCAAATTATATCTTTTGAAAATAATGCTTTCGACTCACTTTCCCGAGAGTACGGAGCGTAGGGAGTCCGGAGAACATGTCGCTAGCACGAGCATGCTCTCTCCCATCTACCGTGAATTCAATCAACCAGTTTCGATCACGGGACTAGAAGGCATTGTGTCAACAGAAAATAAATGCCATGGGGCTTAAGGGGGCCCGAGAAGAATTTCGAGAGTAAGAAAAAAGCCAGAAGGTGGCAACAATACCCCTGGAAAAAATCAGAACAAGAGTTCGCAAATGAAAAATACATCAAAATTAATTTCCAGATTAAATATGAAATCACACGTATAGAGCGAATGGCGGAAGCATAGACCTTCCGAGCACAAAAGTGCCTCGCTGCCAGCTTTTAGAATTTCATCGATTGAACAGGACACCTTGTAATCTCAAACACCACCACAATACCAATTACGGATTTCATTGAAAAAGGAAAAATTCTTCAGCTGAACTTGGAAGAAACGCGCCGCTTCATGTAATTCCAATACTCGGCTCGAATCGTGTCTTCTTTATCCGCCAATTCCGTACAAAGCTGTGAAAACAATTTGGTTGAAATCTGAAGCGCGTTTGACGAGAATTTCAGCTCCTGACCTTGGCAGCTTCTTCGACCAAAGAAACCTCTTTTTTATTGCCGAGCTTATCCTGGATGATTTCAACCATTGTTGACAGGAGATAAGGAGATCTCGACCCTTTGAGGTATGAGTCCCAACAGTAGGCATTCACGTATTCCGAGGTTCCGAGTCCTTCCGGTTTCTGAAAGAGAACCCTAAAAACAGCGAAAAACTAGTCTTGTCCGATCAAGACTTCGGAGTATTAAACATACCCTTTTAGATAATTCCATGCGCTTTCGTTATTCTCAGCAAGCTTGATCTTTCCAACAGTAAATTTCAGTTCGGACTCCACCACGTCTGGAGTGAACTTGGTGGTATCTTGGATCATGGAATACCTGTAGTTCCACGCTGAATTGTTTCGCACATCCGAGTTCAACATTTCTTCAGTGAAATCCAACTCTCCGTCGTAAAAACTGATAAAAAAAACGAGCTCTCAGCAATGAAAAATATTTTAGACTACGGGCAGGAAATAATGATATTCTTAAATCCTTGCGTGATCCATGTCACGCAAGAATTTCACTCGACCCTGGCGTCACCCGAATATTTTCAATCTTTCTCTGATTAATACAGTTCGAAAATTAGGAAACGCATATCTGAAGCGCAGAAATACGAAAAGCGGAGGTAGAAAAGAAAACCGACAAATTATAAATAATTTTGTTCGTGAAGTTGTTGACTTCAAACGCGTCAATTCAGATTTACAACAACTCACTTGTATGTTCTCACACACCAAAGCCGATGTTGCCAGGCATGGTAGTTCTTCGGGTCTTCCCGGAATGCGTGCGCTGTCAAATCTTTCTCTCCAGATGGATCACTCAAAAGTTTCACAAGCGCTTGGCGATGATGCCTGCAAGGAAATCATGTGGTCATCTCCGATACTCACAAATGCAACAGAAAACGGACCAAACTTGATAATTTTTCGGATGGAGATCGATAACGTAGGCGACGAATTCCAATTCCTCGCGCAAGTCTTTTTTCATCTCCACAAGGATCTGCCGTCTGTACATGGAAAATATATCAGCAAAAATGTTTGGATCTCAATATGAAAAGACAGTCGAACAGCCAAGAAACATTAAATGCAACTGGTACTACGAATTAACATCAGATATGCTCCAGAAAATCATCACCAACCTGTATTCCCAAACGGTGTAATTGGCAGCATTCATATAGATCGCATTTTTTGTCAAATCCAGCGCTCTATCAGATTTCTCGCCACTCGCCAAGATTGCTCTGAAGTAGTCATAGACGTCCACAACTGCACAAATCATACACCTTTGATAAACAGGCTACTTAGACGTGGAAACGATGAATCAACGCTCATCTACTTCGTGAGACGAAAAAGCTTCTCTAAAAACTTGAAATATAGTACTGTATATACTTTCAGTTCCGTAACGAAAGAGCACACAAAAAACTGATTTTCTCTCTCATGAACGCTGCGTGTCTCTTCAAAAATAGAGCCCATGGAATCGCAGTTACTCATTGATTTACTCAAAATCTGCGATCAGGGTGGAAAAGTACTGCATGCCAGCGCCCCAGCGGGGTAAGACATGAAAGGAAACTTGGAAAAATTTTCGTGCGTAGAAACAGGACTGCAAAATAAAAAATGTCACTCACATCTTTCCTGGTAAGCAATGCTTACAACCGAATGGGGACCATCGTCCTGCTTTATCGGCGTAACGTCCTTCCAGTCAGGACGATTGGAATACAAAGTTGATTCTTCAGGGAACATCGCCGAGTAAATCAATTAAATTCGGAGAAGGATAACACTTTCACAGGATAATCGCCGCACGCTACAAAACTTCAACGTCTCTTGCGTTCTGCGAAAAAAACAAACCGAACCTTCCAATGTTTCTACAAAATTGGAGAACAGGCGAATCAAAATCATTCGATCGATCGTTCGTAGAAACATTCAGGTCACATTCCGCGGAGAAATTCGAAAAAATCATTACCAAGTACGACCCGCAAAAAATTCGAACAAGCACAAGATTTTTTTATCCGGATAATCCGTACTATTAACTGATGTAATGTCCGTACTTCTTTCGGGTTGACGCGAGTGGAACTCAAGTCAAGACTGTGACTTTGAAAAAGATCCAGTCTAGTCGGAAAAAAATTCCCAAAATTATAAAAATTGTAGATTTTGAAATATACAAATGAATTTTTCAAGAATCTTAAAATAATTCCATCACACGTCTTGGTGAAAAGTATAAGCAGAACAAAATATAGAATGGACAAACTTCAACGCATCATATCGAATTGAGAACAAAAACGTACAAGAATTAACTGAACGTCTTCCAACTGAAAGCATGATGGAGAAAAGAAACGCCGCAATTCACTGAACTTCACCAAATTTCAACAACGATATTTACGATAACCTCTAACACGGTAATCGTTATCAACGTCTCACAGGTGAGTCAAGCATATGTTTTAGTTCGTTGGAACGGGCGACTGCCAGAAGTTGTCTCCAATTTTCGTCCATTTCCATAAGACCCGGATCACCAACGATGATAAGGAAACTCTTGGCACGGCTGATCGCAACGTTGGTGTGTTTCTTGGAAGCAAAAAAGGAATTTTCCCAGAAGCCGGAGTACTTCCACGACACATTTTTCTTGGTTCGTACGAGTGAAACGATGATGATTTTTCTTTCCGTGCCCTGGAATTCTTCCACGGTACCGACTTTGATTTTCTGGTGTTCCTGAAGCCTTGTACGGATCTCGTGACATTGGCGGCGATATGGTGTCACAATGCCAATGTCTTCTTCACGAATATGCTCGGTCCTCATGAATGCTTTGGCAACCCTTTTCAAAATATTAAATTATCCTCATTTAGACCAACAATCTGTGACCAGAAAGTTCTGTGCTATCATTAACATTTCCTTATTTTGAACTATCTGCCACAGGAAAATTACCGGATTCACCGAGTACCACGCATCATTGAGGCAGAAAGTGGTGTGCGTGGCATGAGGGCATAAATTATAAAAGTAATTAATTAATCACGAAACCATATTGGTATGTCAGAAGTTGGTCTCATGTGAAAAATTCAATTGAAAATTATCTTTGACAACAACTCTGATTCAATGCTTTATGTTCTTTGAGTTAATTATTAAGTTTTTGTAAGAAATTCTTACTTGGCAACCCAATTCTGATATTCAGCCAACGAAAGCGGGGGTGCGGATCTTATGTTGGGATACATTTTTGGGCAACTTTTGCGCCAAAAAATCCAGGTGCGGGTCATAATTTGAGGCACGTGTTACTCGAGTAAATATTGTACTGTGCAGTCAGAAATTTGCAACCTATATACGGTAGTTCCGTCGAATACTGTACTGAGAATAACTAACTTAGCGTGGACAGAAAAATCAGTCACTATTGTACTTCATTATCACAAGTCATCCCAAGTTCCACCTGCTTTTGGTTCTTTCTGTCCTGAACTCCTATGCGAGCATCACAACAATTTCTTGTGAGGAATAATTTAATCCCCGTCAGAATTTTTGTGGATCACGGCTGATTTCCATGACGCTTTTTCCTGATTCGAGCAATTTCTCGAAAACGTATCCCCGTTTTTGATGCATTTCTGCACAATATCCACAAAAAATGAAAAACTCCGGGATTGCTAAACTTTCTCTTGCACAGAAACCTTTCGGGTCACTTCAAAAATTTCGAGTAAACCTGTCACAATCAAAAACGTCTGAATACCTTTCAACGACCCGTGCCTCCGCGGCATTCGAAGGTGATGGACTGGTCTTGCTCTTGGAAACAACACCGTCACGAACTGCATATACCAAAAATGGGTAATACTTTTTGTACTCTTGTGGCACCCAATCCAAATTGTCATCAGGTTGATAGGCCGCTTTTAAAAGCCCGCCATATGCCAAGTTGGAATACAACGATAAGATCATCTCGTGTGAACGATAATTCAGGACCAACTGCGTGACATATTTGGGGTCATACACAGCATTCCCTGGTGCTGCAGACTAAGACAAAACAAAAAAGGTTCAAATAAGGTAACGTACATTTGTATTCAATAATCCATTCAAATCCTTCGCTAGCAAATATACTACACTCACAGACAAGCTGGGGGTGCCAAGCCACACCTGGGCATTTTCAATATTCCAGAAAGATTTTTTTTTTAATCAAATCTTCAAAGCTGGTTACATATTCCGAGGTCCTTTGGTACACATGGAGATTGTTCATAAAAAAAACTACGTGGAATGTCAGAATTTGGCAATGATAGCATCGCACTGGAAATTAAAAGGATGTTCCCTCATTTCTAAGAGAGACATTGTCTAAGAATTCAGAGTTTAAAAGGCAATCTTATTTCCATCGAAGTGAAAGTTTACCTTTAATGTCACCACTCCAAAGTACTGTAGTTCTATATTCGGACCAAAATGTCCCACTAAAACTTTAGGTAGATGCAGTACAGTATGTAGATATGCAAACTTACTATACTTACAGATTTCTTATACACATCCTGGGTATTCATTAGACGTTCCATAAGAGAAGTGCCCAATTGCTTCTGTTTGGCAAGGGGTGATAGAATAACAGGTGAAAGCTGCTGCGGATCCCCACACAGAACAATTCTCGTCAATTTCGAACTGACAGACAACGGTACCAACACCTCCGGTTCAGTCAGATGCCCAGCTTCATCCACAAAAACGTGCGTGAAAAAGCGATTGCTGGAAAAATGTTTACAGTAAATTGAATCAGTCGCAGAATCTGAAGCTGTAGCACAGCTTTTGCCATATTTCCCGTGATATACTTGTCGAATTTGTTCGGATTCGGTCTGCCTCGAAGAAATTAATTTTCGTGAACAAATCGCGCCAGTTGAATAGCGAAGGAATTCAAATGTTTAAATCCATCACATACAAAAGAACATCTTTGCAGATCAGTTCATAAAACAAAATTGAAAACATAAAACTTTCAGTAGAAAAACTTGCTTCCAATATACTGTAGTCATTTGGCCAAGTCAGTTCCTATTCAGAATTGCATTTATTTTCATTCTATGCGTTAAAGAGTTTTGTTTGCGTGTTTCTTTGCAATGTATTCTTGGAAATCTCTCCTTGATCAGATCTTCCATGAAGCAATGTCCTTCCATAAACCACCATGTTACGTGAGAAAAAATCTTTCCATCTTTTTGAACTTCATCCACCAATTGTCGTCGGTAAAGACTCGGAACAAATGTCCATCACTTCGCAAGGAGCAGTGAAATCTCGGAAGTGAATATCAAATACTGTAGTACGCTTTTTATCATTCGGCTCAACGAGTATTTTTTGCGTGTTGAACGATAAAAAAAAGCATCTTCAAAAATCAAAATGGTTTCACATTACAAAAAAGAGAAGCAGAAGGAACTTGAAGGACAGAACAAATATTTATGCGCTAAAAAAGCATGCTACATTTCAAGATAGATTTGATCGGCTTTTGAACGCGTCCCTTCAACTGATCATAAAAACCACGTCTTAACGCTGAAATTATCAGCGGTCTCACTCACCTTGGACACTTGACGATTAAGCTTCCACACATGAACCACGTGCCGATAACAATGCGTGCATCCTGCAGCTTCACATCAGTTGCATCGCTCGTGTCATTTTCATTAAGCAAGACGAATTCTTCGCATTCTCGAGGAAGATAAGTTATTTCCCTCGTCTTCGACAGAAATCGAATCATGGATGATTTCCTCAACCAACCGCGCTGGACATAAACTGCCAATCCAGAACAAATTTGGTCCGCAGCAGTGTTTGACGGAAGAGCGACCAGAATTCTGAGGATCATTCACGAATAAAAAATAAATCAGTTCCAAAATATCGATATTTTGAATTTTTGCTCCAATTTACCAACTGTTCAAACGTATCCACAAAATGAGAGTAGGTTCAGAAGTTTTTGCGATAGGGCGCTCAATATCAAAACCAAGCTTGTTCTAAAGATTTTTAAATATCACATCATTAACCAATTACCTCCCGTTCTGCTGGACAATGTCCACCGAATTTCATATTTTCCTCGAATCTTAATTCTCTAAGTCTAACCCATGCTGAAAATGAAACTTTTCCGAAGTATTTCAAGAACTGGAGCTTCCGAGTTATTCCTCTTCGAACATTCGAAGGATCAATTCCCAACTTCAAGCCTTTGCTTCTTGCATAAAAGTTTCTATATATCTGCTTTGACTTGAGTGCACCAAACGGCATTTTACGGGAACATTCATCAATGCTGAATCGATAATTTCGAAAGCCCTGACCTTTTTAACATAGGCACATGTTTTTCTGTCCTAGGGCATGATTCATCTAAGAAATATTTAAATACCGTATTTGGTAGAAGCCCTGTTAATCTTTTATCCTTTCTTAAACCTAAATTTCGTGCTGGAATGAGGCGTCGTTTCAACCCACCATCTCATAATTTTATAAATGTGAATATTATTTCATACACATTGTACAGCAATGTGGACAGGACTGTACAGCAACTTGTGTACTGTACAGCATAACCATTTCAAATTTTCAATAACAGAAACATCATCACAGGGAGAACAAAAAACGGAGGAACTTGTGAACAATCATTCTCTGAAGAAAATTTCGCAATGAAATCCTGTAAATCCAGTGCAATAATAGTTTTGGGCAGCTACATTTCTTGAATACCTCGAGCTAGGGAGCATATGAAAAGTTTGCATGATGGCCTCCACAATTGTGACAGTTTTCCCCGTTCCGGGAGGTCCAAACAACAAGTACGGCGCTCTTGTACTTGACATAAACATATTCATCACAGCTAGACGTTGGCCGTCGTTCAAATCATGATTAAACCAACGAATCGTGTAACGACCCTTATCCTCCTGGAACGTAACAGCATCAATATTAGAATAAAATAACAAGTACGACACGTCGAGCGCTTAAAATAGAAGCTTTTCACCTCTTCAGGAGTAAACATTGTCACTGATCCCTCTCCGTCGGTTTGGCAGAAACGAGGGCAATAAGTTGGGCGCATGGTTTTATCATCGTGAAGATCTAACACGGGTTCATAATCAGTTGTGCTCGAAACCTTGAAAAAGGGGGAATGTAATCTTAACCCAGAATGATTGTCAATAGAGAAAGCATCCAACTCACGGGAAACAAGACCTCCGCGCCCAATTGAGGTACAGCGATCTGAATGGCATGGTGTTTGCGTTTGTAGGATGCCAGTTGCTCCAAAAAACGTACATTCACTCGAGTGCTTTGCGAAACACTGCGATGGAATTCGTCGTTGAATTTAAGATGCAGACGCAAATCTTCTATTTTGATGACCTCTCCTTCGAACTGCTTTCCTCCGTTATGTTGATCCGCTAAAAAAATATGCGGAAGTTGAGCTTTCATAAAATTATTTTCACATCAGATGCGTCCTTTTACGTTTGGCGAGATAGCAGAACAGATATCCTGGTCTAGAACCAGTAAGAACCACACTGAAAATCTTTAAATTCAATCGTTGAACACCCAACTAGAGCAACCAAATGCCAAAGTGGTAAAACAAAACCCAAATGATAAAAATTTGACACATCTTACCAAATTCTCATCTTACCCAAGGAGGAAACTGAGCCCTTCTAACATGTACTTCTTGAACATAACATTTATACTTCGTTTACCAAGCATAACACCTACCTTGCCTAATCAAACATCTCGCTCAAACACCCGAACAACAAGAATATTCAACATAATTCTACCAAACATAACTCATCACGGTATTTCGCAAACTCATCATCGTGCTCCGAAAACTTATCACTCATTTGACTTTGCTGCTAAATTGCAATTATTAGCATCAAACTACTACTAAATGGCACCTAGCTCGCATACAATTATTTGCAATCAACCAACCTAAGACTGAACACAATTCAACCGAATTGATAGCGTGGGTTGAAGATGAATTCATGAATGCGAAAGCGCACTACCAAATTATCGTCAATAAGGAAGTGCCAAAACGGAGAGAACGTTGTAAGAAACTCACCACCTCGCTGAATGGCACTTGAAACAACGACTTTCATGCCTTTTCTGAGCAGCTTCACAAGTCCAGAGGAACCCATTTCGGAGCGCAGATTACTTTCATCTGCATGGTTGCATTTATCCTCTGTTTTCCCACATCGGTCGTCAAGAAATCCAAAAGTCTGATCTTCCTTGCTTCTCAGGATTTCATAAAGGTCGAGCAGGAAATTTGCCGGGACTTCTTTTACCAATCGGACGTTCTCAAGCTTGTGTTGATCAAAAATCTGGCGTTCATGGATCTCTTCCAGATAAACGAGACCTTCCAAATGACTCCGATATGAGTCGATGTTCAGAAGTTTCCCAAAAGAAACGTAGGGATCAATAGGCAGTCCGTTGAAAACAGCTTTAACGAGATTTTGATCAATATTGTAAGGTAAGAAATGAGTGAATCGCCTGGGACCGGCTTTTTTCTGACAGGAGATGATTCGGGTTTTTTCCAGAGGATTCCCAAAAATCTCATTGTGATAAGGTGAGTCTGCACTGTCAAACTGCGCACGCAGAGTGCGATAAATTGAAAATCTCGAAAATTTGAAGATGATTCCGCCAAGATCATTCGGCGGCAAACGATCCCCCGTCATGTCACAATGCACCGCGAAGAACTTCGCCTCTTTCGGCTTTAAATGGATCGGCAAAAATGGGCGTTTGATCCCTTCGATGACGACGATATCACCAACATCCACAATAATGTCCATGAGTGTATTTTCATGTTCGGCAACGTTCTCGATCTTGATGTCAAGAGGTTTAGATTTTTCACCGAGTGCGACGCGGCCAAAACTAAGTCCAGAATTAACATGAATTTCTTCGTGATAGGTGTTCTCAAGAATACCGCTAGATTTGCCTTCACATGATTTGCGCAATAAACGCTTCAATTCGATTGCTCTCCAATTTTCATCAGATTCTGGAGAACTTGTTTTTATCACAGTAACATTAAGGCAAGTCGGAAATGATCTAACGAGTTCTAGCTGCTCTTCCGTTAATAGCGCAACTTTGCCTTCGTACGAGACCTCCGAAGAATTCAGAGTAGCTTCTGGCCAATGTTCAAGCCATGGTTCACACTTCCAAACAGTTCTCGAGTCGTCAAGAGTCAGCTTTACCAGATCTCCTGCAAAAAAATGTATTCATCAATTAAGAACTGAACCGGAATATAACTTTCAAAAGTCGCCAAAATGCGTAAGAGGATTGGTATTGAAGTTTTGCTAGTCTCGCATTTCACAAGATTTTAGATGCATTACCGAAGAGCTACTGCATCTTCTCTTCTCTGGCATTTTCTCCAGTTATTGCTTCACCAAGCTCTCAATGAAGAATTTGAGGTGCACTTCTAAATTTCCCCAGAATCAATGTTTAACTATACAGTACAGTACAAAAATTCTACATTCTCATGGTTTGAGCGTAATTTCTAATAGCTTCGGGATTATGCCACTAATCATTCAACCATCGGTCAGCAGAAAAACGTTGAATACCAGCACTAAGAATAGTTGCATCCTTAAAAATTTTAGACTGATCAAGATGCTGGTCATCACGCTACATCAAGTCAGGGTTGCAATCAGAGGACTGCTTCAAATAAACAAACAATAAGTAGGCTCAACGTATACGTCGTGATTTATTTCACACTGACTTAGACCTACCACCAAATATTAATTTTCGACATGACTCGATTTTCAGCTTGCTTCTGAATACTGACTTCGTGAGGCACAGGCTGGCCCTGAAATTGTAGAAATAAAATGTTAAAGAAGTGAATTAAAGTCGCTTGATCAATTGAAACTGGCAAATGCTTTCTTCGAAAATAATGAGACCGTGTTTAATTGCTCAATGCCGTCGATGGTAAACGTGGATCGTGAAGGTCAACTTCTATACAACAATCGAAGGTTCTGGCTAGGGCTGAAACATTTTTATCCTCAGGATTGGAAGTCGCTGAAAAGTTGAAAACGTAAAACTTATTCAGCATTCTGTGATGGCGAATTACATCAGTAACAATTTTGGAAATTGACATTGATCTCATAGGGTCAACCTTTCGTTTCTCTCACCAGGCTGGAACTCAATGCGGCGAACTGCATGCGAAGACACGCTCCTTGGAACCACGACATGAGAGCCATCTGAAAATTCCGCATCGTAGTCTGTCCCGCGTCGAGATTTAACTACTGCTGTCTCAAATTTACGATCGGAATCAGGTCCTGCATCTTCATTCGCACCAACTCCCACTTCCTCGACATTTTTCCCGTGAACTCCATATTTCACTTCCGAGGGATAGATGATTATTATCGCCGAATCGTTCCGAGCAATGTCGCCACTGCCGCAACATCCGCTCCCCGGACCACGAAGCCACATTAATGTTCCCAGAAGGAGACTGGTGAAATGGTCTCCTTCGAATGCATTCTTATTACATAAATAGCGCTGTCCACAGATGCACCTCAGAATTATGTCTTCCGAGAAACGATCAATTACCGTAGCTGCTATTTTTCGAACGACACTTTCGGGCTTTTTCTTTTCTAAATAAATCGATTGATTCATCAAAGCCGGCGGCATATTGACATTCGAGGAAATCTTCGACAGTTCGATGTATTACATATTGCCAAGTAAATCGCCAACGTGAGGATACTTCCACTCGGCTTCTGGAATATCAAAGACATCCAATCGTTGGTCTTCTAAACGATCACAATGGACGACTTCGTCGAACCATTCAAAACCGACTTCGAGAGCGAGATCTAACGCTGAATTCCGGATAGCTTGCGCAAGCGGTTCGTGTATTGTCAGGCTTTTTCCTTCTCTTCTGATACTATTATCCCAGAAGGGTGCAGTCTCCGGTTTCGGCTTAATTCCTTTGGCAGCTTTCCTGGATTCTTCAATGAAAAGTCGCTTCGGTGTAATGCACGGATTTTTCCTCGCACTTCTGCGTAGAACCTTCACGGACGCACCGCCGAATGATGAGGTCGAACAACGATCCGGGGTGTTCATGACCGCACTTTGACAGACCACAGTCGCATCCTAAATTACTTCGCGCAACTAGTTGGCTCCTTCAAATAAAAAAATGCATACGCTTTTAAGCAATGCGCAAATTTTAGGTCTATAGTAAAGTCAGAGACATAGGTCCTCGACAGCACCACGTTACAGTTGAGTATATTTCTCTCAACTAGATCCGGTCGACAACAGCAACACACAATTTCACATACACAGGATAAATACAATCGGTCAGGTATAAAACAATAGTGCTCCTCAGGAGTCAAAGTCAAAGTGAAGAATAAGGGGCACTTGTACACGAGAGGTGACCCACCGAAAAATCCACGCGCGTCATACAAACGTGACATCTACCGGCAAAATGAATCCCCTATAGTTAAACCCCTCTTCTCCAGCAACCCTGGCCAGACTCCCAGATACAGTATACGACGCGCGTTCATAATCATGATGCAAGTTCATAATCNTCAATCCTGGAAAGAAAGAGGGAGATGATGGAAGGCGGAATGGAGATCCAAGCTGCAAAAATAGGCGTTATTCCGTCCTAGGGCGTCCAAGAGGTCCTGGATAATCGGCATTGGATACCTGTTGTAGGACAAAATATTATTCACAGCCTGATAATTTTCTACCAATCGCCAGTGCCGATGAGGCGGGGCGTTGGGGTCAGGATTCTTTTTCTCAGTCAAAAAAGCGGGAGAGTTGTAGGGAGAAGAGGCCAGCTTGATAATCCCGGCTTCGATGTACTCGTCAACCAGAGAGGAGAAAAGGTTGTTCATCTCGACCGACTGGCGGAATGAGCGAGTATTGGGTATCTGATTGTCAATGGTCTGCAAAGAAACGGTGTGCTTGGGGAAAAAGCCCAGGCGTCCGGACCACTGGTGGAAAACGTTGGCGTGGTTAATCAGGATTTGCCGTAGCTTGCCCCATTCCTCATCTGAACCATCAATGAAAGAAATGCCCTCACCTATTGGAAGAGTAGGTGCCGCCCGGTTCTGAACTGTGCGCTGGAAACCGACAAATGCCCTGTCGCCGTCAAGGGTTAAGGCTAAAGGAAGATGCCAAAGTGCTGTGCAACCTAAGATAATCGGCGGGTCGGAAAGATGAGGAAGGATTAAAAGAATGATGGAATAGTTGAGACCACGAAAGACAAAATTAAGGGCCACCTGCTGTGTGACCTTTGCGGTATCAGCGGTGAGGGCTGTCTGGACCTGAATAGAACAGGGTTGAGGTTGGAGATGGAGGGTATTTACCAGCTGCTGGGCAATGAAAGCATGCGAAGCCCCAGTGTCTATCAAAGCAGGTATGACAGCGCTCCCAATCTGTAAAGGTATGACAATGGGTGGAGGCGCGGCAAGATCCCGTTCCTCACAGTGAGCCGCGTTCACTATGATGGACGCCCGTTTCCCTGTAACGCGAGCGGACAATTTTTGCCAATGTGCCCGGGCGCATGACAATGAAAGCAATAAATAGTGTTTCCGGAAGGCGTATCATTAGTAGAAAGGGGCTGGGATGATTGCGCGGGTTGTGCAGCCGGCTGCGCTGCTTGAGCCTCCGGTGCGGATGGTACTTGATGGCCTTGTTGGCGAAGCAGGATTCAACAGTCCTGTGGTGAGTGGCAAACGTTGGCTTGATGTCCTTCGCACCATTGTCACTGTGGACGTGTTGTACCCGCAGCCTTGGGAGAAGGTCTAGAACTCGTTCCGCCTCGCGACGTTGCGTGATGGTGCAACCAGAAATGCTCCGCTTCATAGATTGCCTCGTCCCAAGTCAGGTTGCGATTATCGATCCATTTTTTCCTTAACTCGTCTTGCAAACCGGTTGCCACGGACGAGATCAGTTGTTCAATCAGTATTTTATTTCGGAGTTGATCCAGTGTAACCGGTTGGCCGGGGGGTGAAAGAAAGGATTGAAAGGTGTGTTCTAACCTGCCCCCGAAGCTGATGAAGCTCTTGCCGTGCTGCGGTCGTAGCTGACAAAACTGGTCCAATCGATCCAGGTGGGGAGTCGGGTGTGAGATGGTGATAGCTGCGACCAGTTCTTCGAAACCTACGATTCCTCTCCCGTACAGGATTGATGCGGATTGTCTGACGAGGGGCTGAGTTTTGTTTAATAAACACCACACCTTCATATCTGTTGACACGTTGTTGACGGCGGGCATCCAACGTAGCTGATCTGCGTAGTCTTCAAAATTTTTGTTGTCTCGTTGACAAGGCAGGTCGGCGAGTTGCGGTTCTCCCGGATGGCGATAAGATGGGGGTGGGCCGACGGGGATGATTGTAGGTCCTGCCACGACGATCTCCGTTTTCGGTGCAGTCCATGGTGTGATCTGGAGGTCAAATGGCCGCAAGTGCCACCATGGGGGCGGAATCCACCCCTGGGCAAGCGACGGCGGGATCCTGTTGGTTTCCAGAAGACAGACATACCCTGAGCAATCCGTCCCGTTTGCGGGTGTCCCGAGGCGGTATGCCTTGGTGAGGTACTGGAGTGTTGGTAGCGGTACAGCGTCCCACGAACTGCCTGACGAGATGGGTGTTGGGGTTCTGCTCTGCGCCGACGGTGATGGGGAGGCCGGGTCCCGCGGTGGTTGAGACCCCGCAGGTGCTGAAGCTGCGGGAGGGTCTTCTTGCACTGGCACTGGAGGCACGTACGGTTGTGCCGCGGCCCTGGAGTTCTCTGTGTTGCGAGTCATCGTGGTGACGTTAGCACGATCAGGAAAGCCGAACGAGCCCCCAATAAGGTACTGAAGGAATAAGTCCTTGGCCAGCGTCACGTTTAACCAGGAGCGTTTAATTCTGTCCAAACTCCGGTAAATGACAGACTTGTCGCAACACAAATATCACAATCACAAAATAATAGGTCAGTCAGATAAAACACAACTTCCTTGGTCAAAGCTCAACGACCAAATGAGTCTCAGGAACACTGATCTCACGCGCGCCTCCTCCAATTGAGATAACCATCTGTATCCTGCTTGCGCTGGGGTGGGTAATCCGTTCGGGCGCTAGAGATGGAAAAATAGGAGGGGTAGATGTCGCTTGTTAAGGGTCCTATAGGGATCCCTTACTCTCCCCCCCCCCCGGAGAAAAATGGGGTCTGTGTAGAGAAAAAAAAAGACTACATTTTTCTATGGAAGGGAATAAGTGTGGTTGGGGCGAACTCCGGAAGGACTGGGTGAAGCCAAGAGATAGTCATGGTCCCGGAAGACGTTGGCTTGTGAAGAAAAGCCGGCGTCTGGAGAGGCGAACATTAGGTCTGAATCCAGGTACGGGTCTGAGCCCAGTTGGGAAAAAAGAGGAGAAAGAGATTCGGCCCAGATTGGGTCTGGAGGTCGAGGTAGGCCGCGGGCAGGGACGAGTTCCCATGCGTTGGCCCTGCAGATTGATTTCTCCCCGCCAATGTGGTACTGTGGTACTCTCCATGGCCGAGGTCTCTGATGACAATAAAGGGGCCCAGCTGTTGAACTCGGAATCGGCGATCAGCAGCGTGCTGTTTGACTGTCGGGAGCCGTGGTCGCAGGGCTACCAGATCACCAGGTTTGAATTTCGGCCAGAGTTTGCGGTCTGCTGAGGAGCAAAACTCAGCGCGGGCCTTTGCATTGACTTCCGGGATCTGGGCCAATTGCTGGCTGATGTCGGGGGATTCTACGCCAAAGGTCTTGTCGGATTCCAGCGCTGATGGTGTTTGGAAAAACGCCTCTGCCGGGGTCACGCCTGTACAAGAATGAATGGTGTTATTGTATGCCAGGACAGACTGAAAAATGTGTTGATCCCAGGTGGCACTGTCTCCCTGAGTCGCCTTTGCTTGGATTTGGGTGAGTGTGCAAATTGCCCTTTCACAGCACCCGTTTCCCTCAGAGTGGGAGGCTTGAGCTACATGCTGCTGCACCCCTGCGTTGCGAAGAAACCATTTAAACGCGCGCGAGCGGAATACAGAATCACAATCGGTGTGAACTATCTGAAACAATCCAAATTGGTGGAAGAGCTCCGCAAGGAAAGGTACGACTGTGGGGGTATCGGCGTTAGCTATTGGTTTCACCATCATATATTTACTGTAATGGTCCACCGCTACAATGGCCTAACGGTGGCCACTTGTGGAGGTCGGAAGAGGTCCATAGAAGTCCACGGTGAGTCGCTGCCGGGGAGATGAGGACACAATTGGTTCCAGCTTGACTCCAACTTTTGTGGTGGGGGCATTGTAGCGAAAACACGTTTTGCAGCATTGGATGCGTTTCCATACGTCCTGACGGAGTGATTTCCATTTGAAGCGCTGTTTCAGGGTCTGGTAGATCTTTTTCCAACCCGCATGGCCCTGCTCCTGATGGTAGCTGTCTATGATCTGGTGCAGTTGTTCCTCATCTAGCACCTCGCGGACTTCCGCGGCGTTGATGGTTACCCTGCTTAGCACATCTGGGCCCTTGAGAAAGCGTCCGGGTTTGTAGACAATCTTAGCCCTGAAAGAAGCCAGTTTAGTCTGCAAATAGATTAAGCGGGTGGTTTTAAGTTCCCCCAACAACGCCTTATGATCGGTAAAGACAGTAAAATTGCGCATCTTGAGGTAATGGCAGAATTTTTTTGTAACCGCCCACACTATGGCTAAAAGTTCTCTTTCTGAATTAGAATACCGAGATTCCGTGTCGCTGAGTGCGCAGCTAGCATACTCTACGACGTGCGGGTGTCCCTCTTCATCCAACTGTACCAAGATGGCTCCAAGTGAGGTAGAAGAAGCATCGCAATGGACTTCGGTCGTGCGGGCGGGGTCCATCCGCTCCAGGCGCGCCAAATTTGCCAAAATATCCTTTAGGTGAGAAAACGCTTCGTGTGCCTCCGGGGTCCATAGCAAGCGCGTGGCCGGTTTGGCAGGGATAATTTGCCGCAGGACTTTTTCAGACGTGGCAAAGTTGGTGGGCAGATGGGCACAGAGATACGTTGCCATGCCCAAAAACCTTTGCATCTGCCTAGTTGTCTCAGGCTTCGGGAAACGACGGACAGCATCTAAGTCTTTGTCCAAGGCCCTGGTGCCAGTCTGGTCGATCTCGTGCCCTAAAAATATGGTCTTTTTTGCTAAAAAGGTAGAT